AGTCATCTCACCTCGTTCACAGAGCAGGGCGTTACGTCCTGCCACGTCTGTCACCAAGGTCCCGGGCCAATCACCAGGATAGCCCGCGTTCCCCCAAGGGGCCTGACTAGGAGGGCTGTGCAGAAAGATCAAGACAATTCCAATTCTTTACTTCTGCCAAATTACCTACACAGTGGTCCCCGGTCGACGCCCATCTTTTTTGCTTCCAACCCTATTCGCCCCAAACGCTGCCACGTCTGGCCTTCGTCCCGTACAACCACCGGCCTCCCAATGGTGGAAACCTGTCGACGAATGCCCGCGTCCTCAAGACGAGATGGCCGGTTTTCCACCCATTGGACTGGCGCGTTGGACACATGACATCCCTACCGGTCTTCCCAGCCGTTTGATGATTTGATCGACTCTTGCGCAAATCATGTTGCTCAGTTCAAGGTGTCCACTCGCAGCTTCTTGCAGCCCATTATCCTTCACCTTCAAATATGGTTTTGTCGCTTGTCATCCGGCGGCAATCCGACCAAACAAACAGCAACTTTGCACATTTTCGGCTTTAGACTGAACCTGACAGGCGTCATTTGTCTGTTTTCCTTCGGAGGATTACCGAGCCTGATGCCTCTCCGGACAGACCGAATCGGCCGGGCGAATTATCGTTGATCACAACTCCTCCACCCGATTATGCTTAACTGTCCCCAGACATGACATAAACAAAGCGGGCTGGACGTTCGCCGCCATAGCGGAGCAATTTGTCAACTTGAATTCCAGGAAGACCGGTTCGGATGACCTTTCGAGTAAGGGGCAAGCTCGTGCAACGTTCATTGATCGGCCATTCCTCGGATGAGCTTGCTTGCGGTAGGAGTCTTGCCATCCGGCGGTTTCTGAGACGATGACTGACTGGATGGGTGGTTCCTGGGCAGCCGCTGCTATTTCTGGTTCCGGTTCTTGATGTGGTCTAGACTGTTACCTACTCGCAGACGTGCCGTTGGGATTGGTTTCCTCTGAACCGTCCATGTCACCTCGACTATCTCCATCTGTACTCACTCCTTTTCGTACATGACTGCCGTTTGGTCTGATACTGCAAAAATTTGAGGATGAGGAATGGCAATTTCGTTGCCGGTGTTTGCAACGGTGGTTTTGCGTTTCTTCCCCTTCGTCTTGACTGTTGTCCATTCGATTACATATTTAGACTGGTTCAGGGGTCTGCGGGAGTTCGTCGGGTAGTTTCCTTTCAGCCGGCGCCTAGCGACCGAATACGAACACGCCAAACCAAGCAGTCTCCTGACGAGAGCGTCAAGTCTAACTCTGAAGTTGAGAGCGGGCGCCAAGTCCTGCTCCCCAGAAGCAAAACTACCACCCTTTCCTGCAATCTGCGACTCTTCGTGGATCATCTACGGGAGCCCCCATCTCGCGATTTGCAAAGTAAGAGCATCTGAGCATTGTCGTGGTCAATCTCACGAAAGCGAGAACAGGAGGACTATGCTTCTTTTTCCGCGGCTTCCACGCAAACGTGCAACAAGGTTCTTTCGAGTGAAACGAACGCTTGTTATCCCATACTGATCGGAGAAGCGACTCTAGATCCCCAGGCGGTCCTCCGGTTTCATCCCGTTGTGCCTCGGGATGATCATCAACTGACTAGACGCCAAAACCGGACCGGCAAACCGACCTGGTAGAACCGTGGGCGAGTTGCGCCCGTTGCCAAGGCGGCTGCGGCTGTTGGGCTTATATGAAATCGACTCTGCAAACACAGGTATCCGTCTGGAGATGGTCTGGCTTGTAAATTATCTGGCCTGAAGATGGATCGACCCGATTACAGTACCCGTTGGTAGCTGCAATACAGTTGCACCGCAGTCGGCGCAAACTTTACCGCTCCGAGGTCTTCAGGGGTCTCTGAATCCAGCTGGCGGTGTGGATGTTGTCTTGCTTTTCTCACACGTTATTGTGCAATGAAGAATCGTGTTCCTAGCGCATTTTCATTATCAACGTTTACTGTTCGGTCATCGCGAAGTGGCTCCCGCTTCACACTCTTGATTGCCTCTTACCTCGAGTCTTCGACAACCCATTTGACGCTAATCCACGAAGTTCAGTTCATGGAAAAGCCACTAAACGACTGTCTCTATTGATGACGATGCTAGGCAAACGATAGTGGCATGCGAGCATATTGACATCATGTGAGGTCATACGACCGATCCTCCGGCTCATCTCCAAACTACAAGGTATCAAGAGATGGGTTCGGAGGTTGAAATGCTAGGGAAAGTAGAGGTAAGTAACCCACTTACGGCTTACCTTGCATCCCTTGACGAGTAGATGCGTATAGCACCGTGATCCTACAATGAAGGACCCCTGGACAGACTAAACCGACCACTGCTAACGTATTTCACTAGCAGGACACAGCTTGAGTCTCCAACTATTTATCCAGTATTGTGCCCACGGCTCTGACCCATCGACCCAGCTTCCACTGTGCTGCAAAGCAACTACCATACCTGGGGAGCCTATTCACAGAGCACCTATCGTGCAGTCCCTGTAGTCCCACACAACAATTCGATTCGAGGTCTTCCAGAGCCGGCAAGAAGACATTCAGCCAAGCGTTACGGTGCTGCTGAGATGCAGTGCAAGAGGCCCGTTTATACAATGGAGTATGTCGGAAAGCGGCGCCATGCTCAACGCCAAAAATACTAGTCGGCGGAGAATGCTCCGAATTTGGACGCTCCTCGCGACCTCGCCTGGGGATTTGTGGCCTCTGGACCAATAAGGGTGCCGTGATTCGTTAGCAAGACGGGAATCCCTTCAACGGGTCCGGCCCGGGGCCACGGACAGGGAAGGTGAGGTTGCATCCGGTTGCAGCTAGCTTCAACTAGCGCCAGAGACAGCACCATCGCTGCGTCCAGGATGATGGAGAAAGGGTGATCAGAAGCAGGCGCGTTCCCATCGCATCCGCCGTCATTTCTGAGAGTGTTTTCTCTCAAACACACCCGAGAACCAGCATTGCGCGAGGCGCACTCATCATGGCGCCCCTACTGATAACATCAGCCTCGTACTTTGGAACAGCAGTGGTTCTTTTGCTCACTTATACAGTATGCATCGCCATCTATCGCGTGTTTCTCTCTCCGCTAGCAAAGTTTCCAGGCCCCAAATTAGCAGCTCTCTCGTCGTGGTACGAGTTCTACCATGATGTCGTCCAACCCGGCAAGTTTACGACTCATATTCAAGACCTCCATCGGAGATATGGTATGTGCATGCCTTCAAGGTCGCTGTTGATAGTGCGAGAATGATGAGCTGGCTGGTCTGGCCACACCTTTTCAATGCAATCGTGCCACAGTCCATCAGCAGGACTATCCCGCAGGTAGAAAAGCTCCTGACAGATATCAGGGCCAATCATTCGTATCTCGCCCACAGAACTGCATATAGATGACCCGTCGTATTTCGACACTCTCTATACTCGCGCCGGTCGTCGTGACAAGTATGACTTTATGGCTGGCCGATTCGGGTTCTCAACCGACAGCTTCTCGACATCTCCGCACGAGTTGCATAAGATTCGCCGCAAAGCGCTAAGCCCGTTCTTCGCGGCAAGCAAAATAGTCGAATTCGAATCCGTCATCAAAACGAAAGTCGATGATCTCTGCCGCAAACTCGCCGCGTCTGCCGATGGTGAGGTCGTCAAGCTTGACCGTGCTTTCGTCGCATTGACCACAGACACCATCACTCAGTACGCTTTTGGTGAGTCGTATGACCATCTAGACTCGCCCGGCTTCGAGAAGACGCTCTACGAGGCTTTCCGTACAATTCACAGCGTCGGCGCCCTTGGGCAGCAATTTCCCTCTGTTTTCAAGATATTGAATGCGCTCCCGCTCTGGTTCTTGAAAGCAACACAGCCGGAAATCATGCCCATAGTCACTTTGAGACAGGTGAGTTCGGGTATCGCTTCGTGAGGAACCGGCTCTGACAGCATACCGCAGAGTATGAGAGCTCGAATCGCCGAGATCCGTGCCGGGAGCAATGACACAGCAACGAAGATAGATCATGCAAACATCTTTTACGAAGTCATCCACAGCGACCTCCCAGACTCAGAAAAGACGGATACTCGGCTTGGAGACGAGGCACAGCTGATGGTTGCAGCAGGCCTTATCACGACTTCTTGGGCTCTCGCGGTGGCCGCATTCCACTTTGCGTGCAAGCCAGACATCCCGGCACGGATGCGGAAAGAGCTTGCTGCCGCTGGGTGGCCCAGTGGATGGCAGAAACTCGAGAAATTGCCCTTCTTGAATGCCTGTGTACTAGAATCAGTCCGACTCTCCCACGGCGTTGTGACGCGGGATCCTCGACTTGCCCCTGATACGGAGTTGAAATATGGTGAATGGACCATTCCAAGAAACACACCGGTCTCGATGACTACTGTTGACGTCTTGATGAACGCCGACTTATTTCCCGAACCGACGTCATTCATCCCGGAACGCTGGATGGAGAAGCCGGAGCTCCAGCGGTACTTTGTTGCATTTGGCAAAGGGTCACGACAATGTTTGGGCATCAAGTAAGCAAAGCTCTTCATATAGACTAATCACAGCTAACTGAATCATTAGCTTGGCGCTGGCGGAACTTCACATTGCGATCGCCCAAGTCTTTGCGCGGTTCGACTTTGAGCTGTTCGAGACAGAGGAATCAGACGTGCGAATGGCCCACGCATGGCTCGCCCCTTATCCGAAACTGGATTCAAAAGGTGTCAGAGTGAGAGTACGGGAATATAGCATCTAGTCGGCCCGCAAGACCAAGTTGATCAAAACAGTGAAGATGACGAATCCGAGCAGTGGTACAAGAGCAAATCGAGGACGATGAGTTGTCACAAAGAGCAAGTAGTCTCGCGGTAACCGGAAGGAACGAGGATATATTTCCCGTCCAATATTGACGACTGTTTCTACAGAAATCTCAGCATGCCAAGGTGAATATTAATTTCAGCTGCTTTAGGAGATGTCAGAACCTACGTCATACTCTAATTCTCTGAGTTTTCCTGAGATAACTTACAAGGTAGCTCCTGAAGCATCAGAGCAGACAGCCTTTCCAGAAACTGCCACACACTGCCCCTGGCCATTGTCGAGAAGTCTTGTTCCGTTCGGGAGATTGGGATCAACATCTGTGCCAGCAAGGTCTTGAAGGGCTTTGCGGTCGGCTCTTTGTTGTTCTCTGCTCCCACCGCGTTGAGGAGCGGCAGCTGCGAGACCGAGAATGGCAGTAAGAACCAGAGAAATAGAGAGCTTCATTTTGACAAGTTCTAAAAATAGAAAGAATACTGAAAAAACAGAATGTGAGATTGAAGCGAATCGGCCGGCCGAGAACTTAGAATAGGCTAGTATATCATACAGATGGAATACCCAAAGACAAGATCAAAAGCTTTCTTTCTGGTTGTTGAACGCTTATTTATACGAGAGCTGGCAGCTCCTGGAAAGAACCATCAGTACATGTGACTTTGTTTAAGATGGGATGGCATTCGGCTTTGGCCGATGTCATGAACTTGACAGGAGGCCCCTGCCTCTCCGCGGCCAAGTTGACTCCTGTCACAGACCCGAGACAACCCCACTGGTAACGCACCTTAACAGAGGTCGTATGACAAGTAAAACTCGGCTGCGAACCCCATTAGGCTTCGAAGTATTCAAAATCCAAAATCAGCTGCGACGTTTTGTCACTGGCGAAATTCCCTCGCTCGCACTATGATCGACGCTTTATGTTTGACGCCGTAGCGAGGAGTTTCACAGACGATCAATGATCTCCAGATAACCAGGCGGGGGGTCAATTGGATCAAGCTTGAATTTAAGATACAACTTATAGAGTGGATTTTGGCTTCTAGAACGTTTTGAATCCGAGGTAGCCTGATCTCTGGCCTCCTCTCTTCAATCGACATCCAATAATGCCCTGACACTCGCAACATGACCGTCGCGAATCCCTGAGAGCGTCCGTGTCTTTGCAAAGTGCCAAAACCCCATTGTCACAAGCCGGATATGCCTGCTTTTCACCCGGAATCTAAATCTCTGGCAGAATCTCCGTAATGTTGCTCTTAGCCAGCTTGTCGGTCTCGTCCAAGACTTGAATCATTCGTTTCTTCGCAAGGGCATTGCGTTCTTTCTCAAGTTTGGCGTTGCCCATATGCTCCATGGCGATGTAAATGACGGATTCCATGAGGCGCATGGCCAAGGGGCCAGCCATTCCAACGTCATAGAATGCAGGCGTCTCGTTCACTTCTAAAAGCCACGCAGTGCCATCCGTGTCAATGAGGAAATCGACGGCGAAGAGCTCAAAACACTTATCCACCGTTGTGAACTTATCCGCCATGGTGTGGGCTGCACCACGAAATAGCTCAGCCGAGGTGTGACAAATCTGCTCAAAGACGCTTGCTTTCCAGTCACCAGGCAGCAAGTGGTCTGGAGCCGACCAGAAGTCTCTCATCGATTGCTTGTTTATAAAAACATCTTCGTCTTGAAGTGCAGTGTTGGTCAGAGATGACTTGAGACTGGGGTTCAGCCAAGGGGGCTCATAGTCCTCCCCGGCCAATAATGCGAGCATCTCCTTGAAGACGTAGACCTTGAGGCGGCCCATTGCAAGGACGTAGGCTCGAGCATGCCATTTTCTCTTTTCCATTGGCGGGATGTGAACGATGTATCTTTGAGCCACGAACTCGCGCATCTGGGCCGAGGGAATTCTACCTCCCTCTTTGAAGACATACTGCGGCTTCGGGGCTCTTTGAATCCCGTCCTTATGCTGGTTGAGGGCCAACTCTCCAGTTGCCGTTACGAGTGCGTCTAAGGTGTCGAGCCCAGGCGTCGACAGGGTTGGATAAAAGCCTTCAGAGTTGTCGCGGGTGGTGTCATTTTCCGACTTGCCATTGGCTTCAAGCATGGCTTGGTAGCTGAGATCGCTCTCGTCATCTTCGTCAATCTCGTACTCCGCGAGCTCGAGATGGCTGGCAAGCTCCTCCATCGTACTAAAAAGTCGAATACCAGCACCGCAGTCAACAAGTGCCGGTTTCAAGATCCACCACTCACGCTCTGAGGCTGGTTTGTCCTCGTTGTCTTCCAGTGAGGACAAAAGCGTGAGATCGTCCGCCGCAGTCAAAGCATCGTCGACATATTCGGCATAGTCAAGAGACAACCGGACCGTCAACGGGACACACTTTTTGAGAATGCTTTCCGGTCTCTTGGCCGTCCAGAAGTCAACGACTCTGGCGAGATAGTCCTTCCGAGCAAGCGCATCGCTGTTCGGGTAAGCGTTGATCAGAGCCTTTTCAGCAGTGTTCAGAGCGGCGAAGTTGCGGTTGAGTGCCCACCCATCGCAGAACTGAAATACTGTTGAAGCGTCCGAAGGAAAGTCGTCAAAGTCGTCGACGAAGATGGCATCGGGCACATGGTTTCGGATGAAAGACTTTATGTGTTTCCCCAGCCAAGGGGCTGCTGGCTGGATATAAACGTGCATTCCGTGAGAGAATGGTGTCGCAGCAAGGTTGACACTTTTCAACGAAAGTAGCTGTTTATCTCAGGTGGTAGTGATGCTTGCCGGGGAATTGTGTAATGGACGGCTCGAGATTCCATATGACTGGCTGGCGATTGTGGTATCACAGGCAGCTCCCGGAGCTGCAAACAATAGTTAATGATCAGGGCAGAAGAGGCTTCGGTCTGAGACGGAGGAATCACCGAATAAATATAATTTGAGCGGTCACTCATCCAATTGTATGCCCGGCTAGGGCGGTTTGATAATCGAGAGGATTGTTTGCTGTTGGAGTGGCCAAGATGTGTGCCAAGCTGAATTGCTGGATACCTATTACCTAACAAACCTGGAATCTTCACATTCATTATTTCCATTAGACATTTCTCACCAAATAAACGTAATTCATATCGAGAATACATCGAATGACATGACCACAATTTCGATCCCAACGCGATGACCTGCCATTCTGCTGACTTGATCCTTGAAGTTGTCGTTGCATTCAGACCCAGAAGATGCAGAATCCGATGCATCTGCGTGTTTGAAGCCCAGGAAGAAAATCAATTACGTTTTGATAACCGATTCGCGATCAAATAGATCAAATCACCGGCATCAACGAATCACGATTAGAAGGAACGTTAGGCTACCGTTCTCTCTTCATGCCCTATCGTTGCTTTTGCACGCAACGACAATACTTCCGGGTCTAGAAACCAGCATTTGCTGGATGGAGGGAGAAATCCGAATTCGAGGCCGGAGATTGTCGGATTCATGAAAAATTTCCTCTTCTGCTCTATTGAAGGTAGAGCAGGGCGACTTTAGTGTTGAGCATTTGGCAAGGACTGGCGGCCAATAGTGTCGCATGCGAAAGTGGTTGCCAGATCTCTATGGGGGAGGCCGAGTAGGTTTCTCATGCGCAATCATGCGAATCGCATACTGTATGTGTATGGCATGACGTGAATGAAATCAAGTAGTCACTCTCTGCAAGGTTTTATGCCGCCAAAACTTCGCGTCCAGAACACTGAAATCGGTTTGGGATGTTCAATAGCGCGTCGTGACGGAAGAGCTGATGCCAGGGCAACGCTGCAGGCTGGATCAGGCAAAGTTGGGCGGATAGCTGCCAATCGGGCGTCTGCCATCGACTTAGGAGCCGGTATTTTGGCACAGACTTGCGCTAGAAATTGGCCGATTGACAGGTCCTCTGTTAAAGCTGTACAAGCTGCGGCCGCTTCACCGAGGTGAGACCAGCGTAGGCTTGGTGGGGCCACGGTGAGTCCTCACACCTGGGCAGGTGCCCGACTAACAGCGACCTGGGGATCCTTGACCGCTAACTTGCAAGGCAGTTGAGGCAGCTGCTGGGCTGATCCCTCCACCGCCGTTTCTCCCCACCATCAACACAACAAATGCGATTCCTGCAATCGGCGTCAATTCAATGCGACACGCGCCTGCTAAAACCACCCACCCCCCCTTTTTTCTTCGACGACTTCGGCCAAGACAAGATTCAACTCTGATCCCTCGAAACCGCCTTCACGCAGCAAAATGTCGTCATGGCGACTCTGCCGCCCAATTCTCTGCTTGCCCGATCCCGGCAACCGCGCGCCGTCCCGTCAGCAAAGGCTTCGGGCGCATCTGTGACCACCTCTGTAGCTCCGCCGCCCATTGCTACCTCCAATGTCAATCTGTTTCTCACCAATCTTCGTCTGCTCGACTTTCCTTCCTACCCTGATTGGCCCGACTTCGACGCCCAAACTTTCACGGTGCAGAAGAAGCGCATCCAGTGCGTAGAATGGACGCTTTACCAGCTCTTCGTGCTCTGGGACCCGGAAGAGGCGCGAAATGTACGTCAACAACCGCCCTCCTTTGAACCTTACTGACCCTCTATGCTGCAGAAGCTTCAGCCCTTCTTCCCTCCTCGAGACCATGTCCAATCCTTGAATCTGCGTGCCGCCCTCTTACGAAGCCTCGAGCAGGCCAAAAAGACCGGAGTTCTTGGCCGCGATGCCGTCGTACGCAAGACAATGTTGGATGAGTGCAGGGGTGAACGGCTAGAAGAGGTCCTTGCTGTCTTTTCCTCGGCTGTTCTCAAAAAGATGGTTGCAGAAGTCGCCGAAGCTGAGGGAGAATACCCCGCTGTTGCTCAACAACTGGCACTGGAAAATCGTGGATACAGCGCTGAACGCGCTGAGCTGGTGACACTGGCTCTTGCTCATAAGGTATCCATTAGACATGCGATGCGAAGAAAGGATGAAGCGAGGCAACGATACCGTGGCCTCGCCGAGCTGCTGCATCTCAAGGAACAGAACATTGCGCACCGGAAAGAGCAGATCACGGCTGCACGAGAGCAGTCGAAACATAAAGACATCTCGGACGATGTGAAGCTGGATACCTGGAGAACGGTCCGCAATAACTGGGCTGGAAACGAACAGTGGATGGAGACCTTGCTTTACGGTGATGCAAATGCGCGAAAAGATGGCGTATTGACAGCACCTTTCGACCGAGTTTGGAGGCGTCTGCAGTCCGGTCGTCTTGCCGAGCTGGAAGACCACGGGAAAGGTCTGCTGGAGCAACTCGACGGCCGGGTGAAGACCCAGAAGGAGAGACTAGCGAAATGGCAGCATTTCCGACAAAACATGTTTGGCGACCAGCCACTAGCTCCTACTCCCTCGACGTCCCGCCCAGCAAAATCTAAACGAGGTATCGATCTCGCTTTCGACAAGCATGAGAGCCTCCGGCTTGGACGAATGAGCCCAAGAAAGCAGCTTGCGAGAAGGATACCCCATTTGACCTCTGACTATGCAGATTTACTCGACGGATGCGAAAGGGACCTGGCCCAGGTGGGCGCTCAACCAGTGATCAACTTCACCGAAATGTTTGGGCCGCCACGATCCCATCGCCTAGGCCAACCAGAGCGGCCCGAAACAATTTCGGGCGCGAGGGAGAGTCTCGGGGAGGAAACAGTATCCGAGCTGAGCGAGCTGGAGGACGATGGCCACGTTTTGCAACATGCTCCGCGGCGGCCCTCGACACACGATGTAGCACCGCCATCACGACGGCTTGGGCGACCGTCTCTCCAGCTCTCGGAAGAGGCCAAACGCCATGTCGAGTTACCGCGGCCACTTCCAAGCCCTCCAGTGCTCCCCCCGGACACACACGACGAGCTATCTATACCCCCACCGACTCCGCCACTACCAGAGGAGGATCAACTCACCCAAAAGATTCCAAGCCGATCCCCTAGTCCTCTACCGTTAGCGGCGGAACAGCCAGTTATTTCTTTTGACAGTGAAGAAGACATACCTGAACCAGAACCCCCGAAATCACCCACACAGGAATTGGCAGACCAAATTCTTGACGACATACACAATGCTTCTCCTTCTCCCGTCAAACGTCCGAAACCTAGACATACGTTATCTCTTGCGGAACGAACCAGGTTGTCCATGGCGCGGTCTTCACGTGGGGTACGCTATGATCCGGACGATGACGAGGATGAAACCTTGTCCTTACGACCTCTATCAACACCCAGCAAACACAATGAAGACCTTACGATCAACATTACAGACGAAGACGATTTAATGTCTCGTACACGACGGAGCATGGCAGGTTTTGAGGCTGCCCGCCAGAAGGCACAGCTGGATCGACAAAGGTCACTGAAGAAATCTCGGGCGCGGGCAAGGACGGAAGGCAGCCAATTCCCTGTCGTTGAAGAGGAAAAGACAGAATTGGACCCGGACGCGTCCATCCTCGCAGAAGAGTTGATGGCCAGGGAGGATATGGAGGCGGTTTTTAGGAGTCGGCCAAGGATCAAGACCAGCCCAGCTCCCTCGCCTTCGAGAAGACCTCTCGAGGCCGAAGATGTACAGTGACTTAGATATGTTTCATGACCCATACATAATACATTTGAGCTTCTGTATTGAGAAAGCTCTATGATTGCTAAATGTTGTACACTCCAAGGCTGCTTGGGCAATTCCGTTTCTTCTCAACTCATGGGCCAGACCATTTTACAGCTTCCAAAATTTACCAGCCCTGGTTTGTCAGCTCCTGTACTCGACGCACTGTCGCGACGAAACCCTCCTTATATCGCTTTATCGATCTCTCCCTCCTGAGCCTCTTGCGTCTCATTCCTGGACGCTCGTGAAACTTCTGCCCGTGCCAAAGGGACTTGATCCTGTTCCTCTTGGTTGAGACATCGAGGGCCTTCATTGCGGCGGAAAAGTCGCGGGAGCCGGTGACGTGGATTGTGCGGCCTGTTTGCGGGCGAGTTCGGAGCTCGATCTCTTGCTGACCAGCGGCGTGGTGCTTCATCATGAAGTCGTCGGAGTCCATGGCGATGAGTTGAGAGATATCGAAGTTTGAGGAAGTGGCATCGTACGCGAAAGGAGTGTGGGGCTTCTTTTTGGCGGCTGCTGTCGGAGAGGACGATGTCGAGGAGGCCGTCGTCGATGATTGGGGGTTCTCTGCGAGGGGACCTTTCACACCGAACAGAGACTCGCTGTTGAAAAAAGTGCGGGATGTCGAGAAAGTACGTGGCTGTAGCCATAGAGGCTGGCTGGCCAGCTGTGATGATCGTAGCGAAGTGTTGCGGAGGGAGCACGAGGTGAGCAGTCTCCTGCTCAAAAGCCCGATTTCGGACGCCCTGAAGAAGTAAGGATTAGTGAATGTTTGATCAATGGCACGAGTCCGTGGCCCTACATGGCGATTAGACACTCTACCAAGCGGGAGAGCACACTGCTGGAGGCCGGCGTGGGTTGCGCAGCAGGGCAAAATGTCAACACCGACAAGCTCGACCGCGAAGATTTCCTCGAAAATGCGAAAGTTGCTGAGGTACGTACCGGACCTCCCGCATTGCCCGCCGCTCGGACAGGAGCTCACTCGGATAAGCGTGTCGCCGTACTCCCGCCCGCTCCACAAAATGGACCAATCAGAGACCAGTCGCGAGACCAAGCCTGCTTCGCGTTGGCCTCGCGCCGAATTTTGAATGTTCGACCCAGAGCTTCTGGAGCTCAAATCGTCAGTGTCGTCCTCGTCTTCGTTTCCGTGCTCGACCTGACCCCCCCTCCGCCTTCACCATACTCTGCGCCTGCCGCCCGACCTTACGGATAGATCAAGTCCTAGCAATCTCTACCTGCAGCCGGCTTCGATCGCGACACGAGGTATCAGCGACTATTACCACACCCTCGAATTACTTGCGGATTGCGGATTGACACACCGACCGAGCGACATTCAATTAGCAACCACTCGCATTGCATCGTCATGTCGTACAACCCGTACGGAGGTATGCATTCGTAGCTCTCGGATTCACACTTGCACTCACTCAATCTCTCAGCAGGAAACCCTTACGGGCCTCCCCCGAGCTATGGCGGCTTCCCGGGATCCAACGCCGCGCCTGGCATGGCTCCTCCACCTGGTCTAGGTTTGGGATACCAAGCTGCGCCATCGAGTTCCTACGCTGACCGATATTCAGGCCCTCCGCCAGGCATGTCTTCCGCTCCGGGAATGGCACCACCTCCCGGTGTCCAGCAATCCAACAACGCACAAGCTAACCGACAAAGCGGCCTGCCGCCTAACTTCCAAGCTCCCGCGAACCTCCCCAACATCAACTTCAGCGCACCCGTCATCCGTCTGGGAACCATAGGCGCTAAGCCAGGTGCCCCTGAATCGGGAAGGAAGGACAGCAATACCCCAAGCGGTGGAAGACAAGGACTTGGTATGGACCGTGGCTTTGACCAGTCAAGAGCCGCTGCTCGAGAGCACATGCAATCGCTCGTCCCTCCGACCAGCGAAGAGAAGTTGCGCACATTATTTGTTCACAAGATTCCAGACGGAGTTGGTGGCGACGAAGGTATCGAGAGAATTTTGAATGCTGTTGGCAAGCTCCGGAGATGGGATGCCGCAACATCAGTTCTGTCTGATGGAAAAGGCGCCAAATTTGGCTTTGCTCAATACGAAGACGCCGACTCCTTCTCGACGGCCGCCGATCTTTTGCAGGACACCGAAGTTCCTCTCAAACGCCAGAGCCCAGCGGAAGCGCCATCTGCAGATGACGACAAGTTCGAAGGAGTTGAAATGGTAAAGCTCCAGGTTACGGTCGACCCTAACTCTCTGAAGTACATCGAATCCTACAAAGAGGGCAGAGGTGATGACAGCGGTGCCGATTCAAGGACCCAGGCTGCGAAAGACGCCCTGCGGCACGTAATTCGAGACCTCGTTTATCCAAAGACCGCAACGAACATCGATGGCGAAGGTGATGTTGCTATGGGCAACTCCGGTGAAAACGTCGAGGTTGTCAATATTCCTCTAGCTCAAGATGACGAACTCGCAGACATTCCCGCTGAGATGCGGGAGGTTGTCGCCGCAGAGATCGCTGCGTTCCGAGAGCGTAGCAACAAGCGGGACATGGAGCGTCTGAAGCGCGAAGAGGAGATGGAAGAGATGGAACGAAACCGCAATGGCCCTTCCCGTCCTTCCAGACTGGACTCACCACCTCCATCCAACTCGAATAACATTCCTGTTGGACCCCGTGGTGTTCCCAATGCTCCTTCTGGCCCCAGGGGCCAGAATGGCACCCGGACAACTTCTTTCGTCAACGGTGGCATCTCCAACACCGAGTTCTCAATTAACCGCGAGGACGAGGACACGGATGCTGATGACGAAGAACTGTATCAGCGAGAACTGTCTAAGCAAAAATCCGAAGACGAAAAGATGTATCTCGAAGCCGAACGCAAGTGGGTCAACAGAGAGCGGTCTAGAGCTGCGGCTCTGGAGCGTGAAAAGGAGCGCGAGCTCCAAGAAGAGGAGAGCTTGGAGAGGCGGGTGCAGGAGCAACTCGAAAGAGAGAAAGCTTGGGATGACGAGAGAGAAGCGTCTCGAAAGAACCATCTTTACTACCGTGATCATGCTGCATGGGTTAAAAAACGGCAGATCGAGAGAGCCGACGAACAGGCAAGAGACGAAGCAGATCGGAAAGCGGAGGAGGACGAGCAACGCAGAGAGGCTGCCGATATGGAGAAGGCGCGTGGTATTGCCGACTCATTCCTTGATCAGCAGGCCCAGGAGATGGAGCAACGCCAGCAAGCTACTGTTTCCGCCCCTGCGCCCTTCAAGTTGTCTCTTGGCGCTGCTGCTCAACGTTCTCAAGCCCAGCGTGCCGCACCGCAGCGGCGCACTGTTGCTGAAGTGGAAGGCCTCCTTGATGATGAAGAGCAAGACAGCACGGCCAAGAGGCAGCTGATTCCCATCCAGTTTGAACCCACTACTGCGGCGGATAAGATGACAGAGGAAGAGATCAGCAAGGCGGTTCGTGCACTCGCACAGGAGATCCCGTCCGAGAAGGAGGGATTGTGGAATTGGGCGGTGCAGTGGGATTACTTGGACGATGCGATCATCCGCGAGAAGCTTCGACCGTTTGTCGAGAAGAAGATTGTTGAGTATCTCGGCGTCCAGGAAGAGCTTTTGGTCGAGGTGGTGGAGGAGCATCTACGGAAGCACGCCAAACCTTCAGATCTGGTCGAAGAGCTTGTCCCAGTACGTGCATTAACCCCATATTTCCAGAATATTACAGCTAACTTGACCAATAGGCTTTGGATGATGAGGCGGAGGATATGGTCAAGAAGCTGTGGCGTATGGTCATCTTCTTCACGGAGAGCGAGAAACGGGGATACCCAGCATAATGTAGGCAAGCCCGGCATGATGTATTATACCAACTTTTTGGGAGGCAGCATTAAACAGAATCGGTCCTGCTTCTCTACTCTTGGGCAGACTCGGCAATGATAAGGCGTGTCGACCTCTGAAACTAAAAGTGAGCGAAGATACTGTGGCTGCGCATCCCGCATTTGCAGAGATCATGGAGCTTACTCTGCCCATCCAGATGCATGTTTCTTCGCCGCTGGATCAACAGCAGTCGAGGCCAGTTTTCTTCGTATGGAGACAAGATAGGGCAACTGAGTAGGTATTCTTTAATAACACCGCCATTGACGAGTGCAGATACTTACTAGTACACTGTGAGTTTGTAATGCTTGCCCGCACTCCGTTTCGATTGTTGCTGCTCACTTTTCATCCCGTAGCGACGAATTGATCTCAAATGTGCAATCAGAGACCAAACCGCCTCGACCGTTGGGCTGTTGTCAATGGTGCGGATGTCTCCCTCGGCTCCATTCGGAGTAAGCGACGGAAGCGAGAGATTCGTATCACGGTATCGTGGGGGAGCCATTTCATAGCGGGTCTTTGGCAGGTTAGCCTGGAGATCACTCAGCCCACGAAGCAGGGGTTTGTTCTTCTCCTCGGCTCACGGCACTGGCAGAAAGCTTCGCATCCATTATCCGTTACTCAATGATGTCACAAGGTGAAGACATGGGGTTGTCAGCTCAGCCGAGTGCATCGATTAGTGCAACAAGCGCGATTTCGAAATGCCTTGCGCTGCGGTCTTTTGCTTTCGTCGCAAGGCCCTTAGGATGAGCGGGCATTTCGTCTGACAAGATGAATGGTCTGTTTTTTCTAAGTTTCTCTCTCTTGTCGGAAATCCACACACTGGGATCGTCGCTATTAATGCTTCCTACGAATAATATCCGTCGATGGATATACTAGGTACAGTGGACTGTGGGACCCCCCCTTTGAGTCGTGTTGGGTCGCTTCATTTCACTTTAGTTTCGTCTATCATCATGTCTACCACGGTTGATCCCGACTCTTTTCTGGCTCACGAACCATGCCGAGCGTTCCCAAGATCTCCCAAGGCTTTTGGCTGGCCAATTGCGATTGAGTCGGAATCAGCCTCAGCCCACTCCGCACCAAAGTATGGTGTGCGCTGTTCACCGCCCAAGTCTTCCCCAAGACCCCAAGAGTCCCCAAGACACCCCGAAAAAGCAGTGGCCCCACCGGCCCAAGCATCCGATACGAGGTCAATTGGTGTTGCTGACTGCCTTGACCCTGGTTGAAGCCATACACAAGTGTCAGAATAGACGGCTTCGGGGTAGGCGGGATTCAATTGCCGTGGGAGGCCCAGCCTCGTATAATTAGCTTTTCCTGCCAATCCTTCCACTTGCCATGCCGCCATGCCGCCAAGGGGAGCTTCCCTGTTGTCGCGAACCATTCCTTTGGGCTGAAAATGTGAGATAAAGCTCGCCGCCCGCATATGCTGTCGCACCAGAGTGCGCTGTCTGTCGTGCTGAAGAACCTCGGAGAAGCAATATGATCACCCCGCCGTGACGAACATGTTCATCCCATCGCTGAGACGTGCCGTTGCCGTCTCGTTGACGTGCGCCATCTTCGTCACTGTCCTCTTGACAAGCCACCAATTGATTTGGGAACAAGACATCTTCGGCTCGTCTTATCTTGCGGGGAATGAGAGCCAACACACTCCTGCCGCGAAGTCGCAGGAACGCAGCTCGAAATTCGCATACGCGCAATATGCGACGGACTTGGATTATCTATGCAACGCTGTATGTGTTCACCATGTACTCTTCTGAGCGCAACCAGAGCTGACGATGCCAGGTCATCAACTTCAATCGCCTTCGGAAATTCGGCGCCGAAAATGACATGGTCTTGATTTTCCCCTCTTCATGGACGGAAGGGAAGAAGGCGGAGGCAAAAGCAATTCGCAGCATTCGTTCCAACCATCCCCGAGTCATTTTGAGGCCATTCGACTACGTCCGGATCTCCAAAACGAAAGCGAGCGCAACGTGGGCCGACAGTCTCAACAAGTTTCATGCCTTCGACCTTACCGAGTACGAGCGAGTCATGATATTCGACTCTGACAGCCAAGTACTGAACAATATGGACTCTTTCTTTCAATCGCCCAGGGCCAGCGTGGCTGTCCCCCAAGCATACTGGTTGAACGAACCCGATGTGCCT